GCGAGAAAGGAAAAGACAAGAGAGGTAAAATACTAATTTGGTCCTCTGTCATGCGTTCCTGTGGCCAGAGAAGGCACTGGAGGAAAGGGCATTTGACAATGATCAGACAGACAGAATTTTATTCCCGCCAGCTATTCTTATCAAACATATGAATATAATTTTTTCCCCCTCTAAACAAGCTGTTTTCCAAAGAAATAGTTCTGGAACTCGCAAAATCAATTCATCTTCAAAATAAATTAAAAATGCAATGTGTACCCTTTCCCCATATGTATTATATTAATAGTATGCCAATGTATGTAAATGAGTCTGAAATTCAACTAGATGGAAGTATTTAAATATTCATAATCACGGTACAGCATATGCAAACCAGATTCTCAACAGAATTGTACTGCGGAGTCTCAAATAGCTGTACTGAAGCAAAGCCATTTTAACATAACTGATTTGGTTATTTTAAAAAATGTTGTCACCATTGGTTGTGCATTTGTTAATATCTGTGCATTGGTATTAACATCTGGATCAAGCCTCAATTCAGGAAGCCATGTAAGCGTGTGCTTAATTTTAAATCCATCCTTAACTCCTGTTGAAGTCAATGTATTTAAGTGCTTTCTTGAATCAGGACCTCAGAAAGAATTGCTTACATAATATCATGTTTACTGAGTTCCTCTACAAAACAGATTTGTTACTAATTAGTACTAAATATCATGTTATGCCAGTAGAGATGGGATAGTCTAGTTTAGCTTATTTTCATTCGAGAAACATTTTTGTATACAGAAATAGGATGCAGAATAAAGGGTAGCCCCCCAAAAAATTACAAATAGTATTTACACATTTAAAAAAATGAATGCATCTCTTGTAAGTTGTGATATATGTAAATTCACATATATCCTGAAATGTATTTTAGAGGCACATTTTGAATATCTTATGGTGAACTCAGAAAGGTGCATTTTAAGGCAACAATTTAAAATTAATCCAATAGCTTCTCTGTGAAGAGAAACAGAAGCTGTAATTCTTTCTAATTGATCCTAGATGTGAAAGAATGAGGTAAAAATAATTCTTCATCGGACCATTTGTTGTTTGTTTTTAAGAGGCACCAGCAACTGAGACATGCCTTCTCCCCCTTACTTCTGCTTAAAGATAAGAAAGAAGTTATAATTTATCCAATTACACATTTTAAAACATGCACAATGCAAGATAATAATATACTTTGTGTTCTTTTGTAACGAGTCAAAACTAGCTGTAATTGGTCCATAAGTTGGCTTGTTTTGAAAAACCGCAAATATTGCATCTGTGCTTTTAATGAGGTATTCAGTTAAAAGAGATCTTTGTGTTCCTTTTATCTGCCTCAAAATTGGTAGGTTAGATCTGAAATGGAGGTAGAATTCTTGTACAAAATTTGAAGTGAACTGGACAAAAGTTTCCTGAATGATCACACTCATAAAATACAGGTGCTCAATAGAATTCAGAAAGTCGTCTTTTATATATATATATATATATATATATATATATTGCCACTTCAATAAAAGTAATCAGTGCATCACTTTCCTGAGTATGATTATTATCTATTCACTTGATGATGCCCTTGTTGCTGAGCAAAACAAATAAAGACAGTCCCTGCCTCATATAGCATGCAGTCTCAAAGTCAAAATTCACACCTAAATTGAATGACTGTGAAGTAACATTAAGAATGAATTTGGCTCCATGTGGATTAGAGGTAGCTTGCTATTTTACTAAGGTGCTTATATGGTCACCATTACCGTAAACATGCCACAATCTTTAATGTATTACACAATACCTCTGTGAGGTCAGTTACTATTACTGAGGCTCACAGCAAGGAGACTTGCCCAAGGTTACACATAAAGCCTGTAGCAGAGGTGGGTGGATGTTGAACCCAAGTCTCAGGTTTGCAGCCTAAGCACTGGGCTGAGCCAAGCTATAGCAATGCACTGAGTTAACAACCCAATTCCTTATCCCAACAACTATTAATCCCTAGGGTCTAGCTCCAAAATCCTTGAAGTCAATGTGACTCATTCTACTGACTTCAAGAACTTTGTCTCAAGCCCTAGGAGAAAGCAAGTAACCTGGACAGCTAAGGAATGCAGGGTTGTTTGGCAGGCACATGTCATAGAATCATAGAACTCAAAGTGACCTTGAGAGGTCATCTAGTCCAGTCCCTTACACTCATGGCAGGACTAAGTATTATCTAGACCATCCCTGACAGGTGTTTGTCTAAGCTGCTCTTAAAAATCTGCAACAATGGAGATTCCACAGCCTCCCTAGGCAATTTATTCCAGTGCTTAACCACCCTGACAGTTAAGAAGTTTTTCCTCAAGTCCAACCTAAACCACTCTTGCTGTAATTTAAGCTCATTGCTTCTTGTCCTATCCTCAGAGGTTAAGAAGAGCAATTTTTCTCTCTCCTCCTTGTAACAACCTTTTATGTATTTGAAAACTGTTATCATGTCCCCTCTCAGCCGTCTCTTCTCCAGACTGAACAATCCCAATGATGCACAATGTTTAATTTCCTCGGGACTGCATTGCTTGCGAGGAGTTGATACATTTTATTCTCTTCACCAGGCTTTTTAAGTACACGCACAGATCTCTCCAACAGCACTCGCTGTGTTGGAAATCAAAGCGTGTATGAGCACAGGTCTGCCTCGGGGCATTTAGGCCTGTAGGTAGGTTCAAGAGGCCAGCCAGGATGGCCTTATAAATAATGGTACAACAGTGATACTCAGACAAGGTTGAGGAGCCGCAAGTAGTTCTTTAATGTGTCTCCTGCAGCGCTTTGCAGCATATGATATTAAAACACCCTGTGCTTTAATTATTAACCAATCTAAGTTATTAACCAATCAGGATGTTTTTACTATATTCTTGTTACAGTCTGTATGGTAACACCCATTGTTTCATGTTCTCTGTGTATATAAATCTCCCCACTGTATTTTCCACTGCATGCATCCGATGAAATGAGCTGTAGCTCATGAAAGGTTACGCGCAAATAAATTGGTTAGTCTCTAAGGTGCCTCAAGTCCTCCTGTTCTTTTTACTATATTGTTAACCATGTGTAGGATACTTGATCAGTCTATATAAAGAGAGAGAGAGAGAGAGAGAGAGTGACTACTGTGGTTCTTTTGGGTAATGATCATGAAGTTGGCTCCGGAACTATAATAGTCAGGCCTTGTAGGGCTCCAAGTGGAGGGACAGCCAGGCCACAAGCTGCTTCTGGTCCCACTAGGGGTCCTCTGATTGACTTCAGGAAAGGATGATAAGAACCACAGTTAGTATGGAATGCAGGCTTCTTTGCCTTCTGTGCTTGGAGAGTACTAGTACTGAGAGTAACAGTACTATTAGCTCTTGCAACATTACTCTTGCAAAGTGCGGAAGGGACCTGCAATAATTGTGCTATTCCTCTCCTAGCCAAACCCCTGCTTTAACGTATATCTTCAAGGTTTCCAGTACCGTTAACAGACACCCTGACCCCCGACTGCTAACTAGGCTGGCCCCTTGGAACAGTTTTCATGGTACAGTATAGTTTTGTTTTTATAACCAGGGCGGTGGGTAGGGTTGCTACCTCTGAGGTACAAAAACCAGGACATCCGGGAAGATCCTGATCCCGTAACGCTGGACTGCTGGCAGTGTGTACTGAGGACCCTGACAGCGGCTGTCAGATTCGAAAAAGGAACGATCCTGGGAACACCTGGATGGGAGGCAACCTTAGTGATGTGCAGATTTCCAGGTCCAAGCTATGCCCCATGAGAGAGCCAGATAAGGTGAGGAAACAGTCAGAGTCCTTTGTCCTGTCCCCAGGCGGCTCATGTGAATACTATTCTTAATGTATTAATTTATTATTATGAAATGCTGCATTAGGGTTTTGATGAGCTAGTTGAAGGGAGATGGGGAGGAACGAATCAGCAAGTCAGGCCTACTTCACCCGGCTCTGCTGGTGGTGACTTGCTGTATGACCTTGATGGGGGGCAATGGTTTCACACACACCCCTCCCACCCATGCCTGAGATTCCCCCCACTGGGCGTCATGAACCAGCTCATGTTTGTCAAGCTACAGCTACAGACTAGGGACCGAATGTCTAGGAGCAGTTCTGCGGAAAAGGACCTAGGGGTGACAGTGGACAGAAGCTGGATATGAGTCAGCAGTGTGCCCTTGTTGCCAAGAAGGCCAATGGCATTTGGGATGTATAAGTAGGGGCATAGCGAGCAGATCGAGGGACGTGATCGTTCCCCTCTATTCGACATTGGTGAGCCTCATCTGGAGTACTGTGTCCAGTTTTGGGCCCCACACTTCAAGAAGGATGTGGATAAATTGGAGAGAGTCCAGCGAAGGGCAACAAAAATGATTAGGGGTCTGGAACATATGAGTTATGAGGAGAGGCTGAGGGAGCTGGGATTGTTTAGTGCAGAAGAGAAGAATGAGGGGGGATTTGATAGCTGTTTTCAACTACCTGAAAGGGGGTTCCAAAGAGGATGGCTCTAGACTGTTCTCAATGGTAGGAGATGACAGAACGAGGAGTAATGGTCTCAAGTTACAGTGGGGGAGGTTTAGATTGGATATTAGGAAAAACTTTTCACTAAGAGGGTAGTGAAACACTGGAATGCGTACCTAGGGAGGTGGTAGAATCTCCTTCCTTAGAGGTTTTTAAGGTCAGGCTTGACAAAGCCCTGGCTGGGATGATTTAACTGGGAATTGGTCCTGCTTTGAGCAGGGGTTGGACTAGATGACCTTCTGGGGTCCCTTCCAACCTTATATTCTATGATTCTATGATTAGATTCATGATTCTAAGTGCTGGGAGGGGAAACGCAAAGTGTCTGATACCAAAGGGGCACTTTTCAGGTTGGGGTGGTGGTGGGGGGGGGGGTTATACAGGGAGATTTGGGGGGCGGAGGGAAGGTTGTTACAGGAGGGGGGGTCCCTGCGCCCCCTCGAGGCCGCGGCCAGCTCTGCAGCCTGCGGGATGCGGCAAAGGCCTTTGCATAAATTATGTTCATGACGCAGCAGCTAAAAAAAATCCAAGTAACCAAAAAAATCCCCTTCCCCCGCCGCAACTCCCCCAGCGGGGGCCCGGGGCTGAGGCGGCTGCAAGCGGGGGTGGCCCGGCGCAGAGCCCCGGGGATCTCGGTGCAAGGGCTGGGCTGGGCAGGCGGAGTTGGGGGGGCTGCCGCCTCCTTCCCCCCCCCCCTTTGTGTGCAGCAGACTCCGCTCCGCTGCTGTGAGATGAATTGTTAATTATTCCCAGCAAAAAAGCGGCTCGGAGCCCCGGCCCGAGCGGGGGGCGAGCGGCTGCCGGCGCGGTGAGTGCGGGGCCCGGGAGAGGGGGTGCGGTGGGGCGGGCAGGGGGGGCGGGGGGGACCCGGTTCGGTGAATATGCAATGGTCTTAATTAGCATAATTTATATATTTATGATAAAGAGAAAAACCGGGGCCGGGGCCGCTGCAAGCGGAGGAGCCGGGGCCGGGGGAGCCCGGGGAGACTGGGTCGTGGGGAGACGGGGATTGAGGGGGCTGGGGTTGGGGGGGGGGGGGGAGACCGAGGAGCCGGGGTTAAGGGGAGCCCGGAGGTCAGGAAGCCGGGGTTGGGAGCCCCTGGGATCGGGGCCCCCAGGGGTCGGGAGCTCAGGGGGTTCTGGGGTTTGGGGGGGAGACCAGGGGAGTCGGGGTGGGGGGGAGCCCCATGGATCGGAGCGACCTGGGCGTCGGGCGCTGAGGGGACCCGGAGATCGGAGGAGCCAGAGGCTGAAGGGGATTGGGGAGCCGGGCTTCGAGAGAGCCCCGGGGATCGGGGGCTGGCGGTGCTCCGGGGATCGGAGGAGACAGGGGTTGGGGGGACCCGGAGATCGGAGCATCCCCGGGGATCGGGGGCTGGGGGGACCCCCAAGGATCGGAGCCTGGGGGACCCCCGGGGATCGGGGGCTGGGGGGGACCCGGGATTCGGAGCGGATCCGGGGATCGGGGGAGACAAGGGTTGGGGGGACCCGGAGGTCGGAGCACCCCCGGGGATCGGAGTCTGGGGGACCCCCGGAGATCGGGGGCTGCGGGGACCCGGGGTTCGGAGGGGATCCGGGGTTCGGGGGAGACAAGGGTTGGGGGGACCCGGAGATCGGAGCAGCCTCGGGGGCTGGGGGGACCCGGGGATCGGAGGAGCCAGGGGCTGGGGGACCCCCGGGGATCGGGGGCTGGGGGGGACCCGGGGGTCGGAGGAGCCAGGGGCTGGGGGGCAGCGGGGAAGGGACCGCGGTAGGAGCTGCCCGGATCGGGCAGCGGGGGCCGGGCTGTGCCCGCCCCGGGGGGCGCTGTGCTGTAGGCGGCGAGCAGACGGCGGGGCCCGGGGGTGGGGTCTCAGGCTGCACTGGGGGCTGCCGAGGCACCGGCCTGGGGGAGCAGCTGCCGGGGCCGGGCCATGGGGCTGAGCTGCCTGATTGGGAGGGAGACGCGTTGCAGGGACTGGGGTACCGGGGCTTCTCCTCCCTGCCGGGCTGTGTCTCATGCCTGGCTGGGTGGGGTGGGGCTGCCCCCTGCCCTTGGGCCCTGGAGCCCCCCTGCGCTGGGGGCTGGAGCCCCCTGGGTGGCTGGGGAGGGGCTGCCCCTGAGGCTGAGGAATATGTTACTGGGGCTAATTGCCACAAACTGGGGGTTTGTATTATCTCTGTCCAGGACCCCTTTAAGCATTCCCTGAGCTAGGTGCCCCTGTAGGGAGAGGGGCTTAGAGTCAGAGAGAAGTGTCTCCCAGGGAAGTGCCTCTATGCCTAACTCTGCTACTGCCATGCTGGTGACCTTCAGCAAGTCACGTCACCTCCCTGCCTCAGTTTCCCTGTCTGTAAAATGGGCACAAACGATACTGACCTCCTTTGTACAGCACTTTGAGGTCTACTGATGAAAAGCGCTAGATGAAAGGTGGGTATTATTGCTAGTGCTAATTTGCACCAGAGCAATGGAGGATAATGGTGAATTTGATGGCACCCCAAACCCACAGGCTGGCAGGCACCCTGGACAGCAGTGGTCAGCACGACAGACACCCCAGTAGCTAAATATGTGTCCCTGATTTTTTACTGGGGTCTTTAGGCATTACTCCGATACAAATAAATAGGAATTACCAAAGGGAATGGAAACAAAAGATTCTGGAGTTGTCTTAAGGCTGCATTGGCTGGGCTTTGTATAGGGAAAGCAGCGAGCTCCATGTTCTCATCCCCTCAGGATGCTAACCTGATACAACTGCCGCTTCTAATGGTAACGATTGTACTTGCTTGTGACAAGGTGTTAAGACGCAGGCTGCCCTTCCCCCAGAGACAGCACTTATATGTTAGAGATGGAAAGAAGGAGCAGGCTGACCCAGAGGCGGATTGAGTAAACGGACTTCTTTATTGCAGTACTTGTTCCCCTCGACCCAGTTGTCGAGTAAGCCCCGAGTTAATCACGTCACACTCTTTTATCTAAGTTCATATGTAAATACCCACGTTTACTACAGCGCCCCCAAAACCTTTATTTAATAATATGAACGCCCATATAATGAATATTAATAGTTATATACTGAATATAATTATACCCTACCCTGTTTACCGTTTACAGCATTAAGCATATTGTACAGACATGTCTTTACCTTGAAGGTACGTTTCTTTGCAGTAATTGTAGCCACAAGTTCCCTTAATCAGCACTTCCCGGGGGAGGGAGGAAGAGGTAGGGTGACCCAACAGCAAGTGTGAAAAATCGGGATACGGGGTGGGGGGTAATAGGAGCCTATGTAAGAAAAAGACCCAAAAATCGGGACTGTCCGTTTAAAATCGGGACATCTGGTCATCCTGGGAAGGGGCCGTGACCCTGAGCTCGTTTATGTAGCTGGGAGAGGGGAGATAACACTTCTTCACACAAAGATCCTTCAGACAACCATATTTCTCATGCAACTGCAAGGCTTATCTATCCTTAACAAGCAGAAGGGAAGGGAAAAGGACAGCAGCTTTATCAAGCGAAGAATCAGTGCTTGCATGTGCCTCCCTCCCTATTACCATGATAGCGGCTACCCAGGTCTTTACTTAACCCTTACATACCCCAACATTATATATTAAAGGCTTTAAATACTAATAGACCTTGGTAGTAAGAGTTGCTTGACCAGGAAACACCTGTTGAGACAGATGTCCTGCCAGTGGGGGGGGGGGGGGGGGCGCAATCAGGGCCATGGAAGTGCCCGGCAATACTGCATTTGACGCACTGAGCAGTATGACCTTCCATCCTTGTCTCCAAGGAGCTGGCTTTATTCTCTGTCTCACCTTTTGCAGTCAAAGTGACCAAATGTTTTTGGGCATGAAATATTAAGAAGAAACCAGCCGATTTTTCTCATGCATTCCCATCACAATTACGCACATGGTGGTGGTGGTTTTACCACCCGTGCTACATAGGTATTGATTGGTGAGGGAATGTTAGGTTTCTGCAGGATTACTCAGGTGCCACCCTGTTGGAAAGCTGGGAGATGTGCATTTTTTTAGGTTAGGCTTGCTTGGTAGGTGACATATTTTTATGTTGGCAGGACCTGCCGGAATCAATATTATGAACTTCCTTCACAACTGATAGACTGAGTTTATGGTTAATGTACTGGACTGGGATTCAGGAGATCTGAGTTCTGTGCCTGGCGCTGCAGTAGGCTTCTCACCTGACCTTGGGCGATTCACTTAATCTCTCAATACCCTAGCTGTAAAACAAAGATAGTAATACTTCCCGCCCTCTCAGGAGAAAGTAATGAATGTGCGGTCCGGAGATACTTGTAAACAAATACGGCTTCCAAGACCACACTGACCGAATTCAGGAAGATGTCAAGCAAACATATTATTAGGATTTGTATTATAGTAGAACCCTTTGTGCTGAGTGTGGTACGAACCCATAGGGAGAGAGTTTTTGCCCTGAAGAGCTTACAATCAAAATAGACAAAGGGTGGGAGGGAAAACAAGCCACGGGGCAATTAAGTGATTTGCCCCAGGTCATCCAGCAGGTCGAGGACAGAGCTAGGAACAGATCTCCTAATCCAGTGGGTCGCACTGGCTCTCTAATAGAGTATCATCCTTATTTCGAAGGTTGCAGCGATTGTAACAAGGGAAAAGCAGAGAAAACAAACGTTTATTTTAAAGGTACTAACAGGGTTTGGCAAATAACTGGGAGTTAAACCCAGAAATTGGCAGGAGTTATTGAGTCACGTCTGGCTTCTTTGTTTTTTAATGTATTTAGTAAAATGTTCTGGATGCAGATGAAAGCTCCCTGTTCGTTACTCACTGCTCCACTTGCCTTGAAACGGGAATGGCAAGTGTATCGGTAAAGGGATTGGCAGGTTGTCTCTGGCTTTCCTTGAAGTCCCAGTTATGGCAACAGGTTCTGGAGTCTGCCCATGAGCAATCGACTGCAGGATCAGGGCTAAAAAAACTGCCAACCAACTACTGGCAAATGCAAGTGACCTCTAGTTCCTTTGCACAGATGCCAGTAAGTACGTCAACGTAAAATAAGGTTTCAGAGTAACAGCCGTGTTAGTCTGTATTCGCAAAAAGAAAAGGAGGACTTGTGGCACCTTAGAGACTAACCAATTTATTTGAGCATAAGCTTTCGTGAGCTACAGCTCCCTTCATCAGATGTGTGAGCTGTAGCTCACGAAAGCTTATGCTCAAATAAATTGGTTAGTCTCTAAGGTGCCACAAGTACTCCTTTTCTTTTAACGTAAAATAAGGCATTCTTGTGGGTGGGAGGTGCTCTTTAAAGTTTGCAGAAGCTGCACATGCTTTGCAGACATGAATTCCCTCTTGTGATTTCTTCAGTCCTGAAACTCAGCTTGAAGCCGCGGTTCATTACAGGCAGCCCTACGGCCCACTGCTATTTGTCTCAAAGTACATTTAACAGTAACCAATTTGTAATTCTTTCTGCTGACGAAACTGTCATCTTAGGTCAGCAGAGCAGCCTGATCTGATGACAGCCCACTTTATAGCAACTCAGTACAGATTTTCATAGCTTTACGGTAACGTTGGAGCGGCTGTCCTTTATGTGTCACAAATGAGTTTTCATTGGCTTGGCTGGTGGAGTTAGCTGGCCCGGCCCAGCCCTGGCACAAGCTTTCCAGGAAAGAGGCTCACTCCTCTTGTAGGAGATAGTAACCAAGAGCTTTGGGGAGCGGCCGTATGTTCCAAAGTTATCCTGGTGGCAGAAATCTCTGTCTTCGAAGATAGTATCAGAGGGGTAGCCGTGTTAGTCTGTGTCCACAAAAACAACAAGGAATCCGGTGGCACCCTAAAGACTAACAGATTTATTTGGGCATAAGCTTTCGTGGG